TCACCCTAAGCTGATATCATTGGCAGCATATTAGCATTTGCAAGGCACTCATTGTAATCAACACCTACACTGTTTTACTCGACTGGAGACATACTTCTCTAGTTCTAATAAGGTTTAGTAAGTCACATGCCCTAAATCAACCAAACTAAGAGTATTACAAAATACAGGTGCTATCACAAGAGTCCAGCATTCTATACAGGTTTCCAGTTCAATTACAAGTCCAAAAAGTCCCAGTTAATACAGATACTCCTACTTAACGCGAGTACATATTTGTTTAAATGAAGCTACAACTACATATTAGACTAATAATGAAAACAGAGGCGGATTTATGTGGTGCAATGCTTCATCATTGATTCCAGAAGTTGTTTATACATATTGCTTCAAATTTCCAGATCACCTGGGTCAAGGAAATGTACCTGGAATCGAAGTAAAATAAATGAGGAAGGAATCAGCAAAAGTAGCAGTGAAATCAACAGCACAGGATCAGTTTTTGGATACAAACAGCACCGCAAGGCCCAGGAATGTATGAAGGAGGGACAACACCACAGAATAACCAAATATCAACTTGAATGAACCCACTCCAGCATGAAATTGAACCCAGAAGTAAACACACTCAGCAAATAACCCAAAAGCCCACTTGAACTAATTAAATCCAATTAATATCGAACAGAAACAGAGAAATTCAAACTGTTTTGGATCCTAAATAAGCTAGAGAATTGACTAAGATGCTGGAATTCGAAATGGATCTAATGGAAATCAATGTAACAATATTTTTTTTGGTTTTTTGTTGCTTTTGTTTTGTATTTTTAGATTTTTGCAGAAGTTAAGATCTAAAGAAGGTTTCTAGAACTATAGGATTTCAGATTTGAACTTCCTTAGATTTTGAAAATTCAAATTTGAGATTCAGATCTTCAGAAAGGGATTTTGGGGGGAAATTAAAAGCTGGAAGGTTTGGGGAATTTTCAGAAATCTGAAACTTGTTAATGAAGGCACTAGGCATGCCTTTTATAGGCAGGAAGAAGGGCAGGAAGGTTCTAGAAGTTTTTCACCCATTTTCCCTCCTTTTTTATTTCAGAATTTAGTCAATAATCCGTAAGGTTCTGACTTGTTGCTCAAGTTATGGCCACTAAACTATTGAAATATACACTAAAGCCCTATTCTAGAAGAGTCTAGGGTATTCTATTTTTGTTTTCTACCTATGGAATACCTATACTAGCCTCACTTCTATTCTGAAATTACTGAGCCTTAACAAACTAACCCATTTTAAGTGCCCAAACTACCCCTGACTACCCCTGAAATCACTAACCCTAGTTGAAATCTATCAACTATAACCAATCACCTAAAAAATTAAACTAATCAATCTAACTAACCAAAACTGAAATTTAACTCTAATTAATATGAATCCTAAGACTAAATGTATCATTGAACTAATAAAGCAGTAAACTATTAATTAAAAACAATTAAGAACCAAGTAAAATATCATATAGAAACAGTAACACTCAAACAAACCTATGATTAGCCAAATTAAACTAACATCAATAAGTTAACTAACAGCACTAATTCATGAACATCAATATGTCAATCAAACATGAATTTAACAAGTAAAACTTAATCAACAGCACTAATTCATGAATTTAAACTAATATCAATAAGAACAGAGGAGAAATCAAGGAAAAATTTAAACTAACTAAACTACAAAACCTAAAGTACTGATTACTGCCAGAAAAAGAAAAAAGAAAGAAGAAAACGAGAAAAAAAACAAAAATAAAGCATAAGGAAAACATGAACGAATTAACAGAAACAAAGGAAAACTAAGTTTAAACTAATTTTAAAGAAATAGGAGAAACTCACCTATGCAAGGTCGAACGGGACTGGAATTCGATTCAAGTCCCAAAATGATGCTAGACGTTTGTTCTTTGCCAAGAACAAACGGAAACATCATGTTGTAACTTAAATCAACCTCTGGACTCAAAAGGTTGGGAAGAAATGGGACACCTTCGAGCTTCTAGAGTTCTGCCCTTCTTTGATTTGAAATTCGAGAAAATCAAGGATGATTTGAAAGAAAATAGTTAGGGGTTTGGGAAGAGGGAAGTGAGGAGAGCTTAGGGTGTAATTTTGGAGGGGTTTGGGGGTGGCGGCGCCGTGTGCGGCGGAGGCGGCACCTAGGGTTTTAAAGATTCGAGACGTTTGGGTGATGTTTGAGAAAACTGGGCTTGGATCTATAATGAGGAGGATGAGAGGAAGCAGGGGTGTAATTTTGGGGTTATTTGGAGACTTGCCGCTGGCGGAGGCGATTTTCGGCTGGTGGCGGACGGCGGAGGACAGTGGTGTTTAGCCGGCGTTACAGGGGGTACGAGGAAGGAGAATATGTCTTTAGGGTTTTGACAGATTTTGGACAGTTTTATTTAAAATACGAATCAATTATGGGCCGTTGGATGATGGGAGATGAACGACCACGATTCCTTGACGCCAAAACTTCTTGTTAGATATAAAACGTTACTTAAGCACAATGTAAAACTCACGCAGCCATGCAGTGAGCACAAAGCTAACTATTCTTTTGCCTTTTACTAAAGAATATCGTGCGTGTTGCATTTAGTGGAATATGCTTATTTTTGGAGGGGTTCTCTTCATTAGAGTTCCCCCTACAATTCTAGTTTTAATCTTTGATCTTTAATTTAATAGGGATATAATTTGAATTAATTGTGAGACTTTGTGGGTTATTCTATGTCGATCTTTTTGAATGAAAATCATTAATATATTACTGCAGTCGGAGTAACTTAATACTCAATTCCTTGACAAAAATATGAGCTTACTGATATGAATATGTTTTGAGCAGAAAAATAAAACGGAATAAGTTTCAGATTATCCAGTGGAATGCACATTATATTCCTTAATCACACTCTGTTTTTTGTATGTATAAAACACCCTTAATCCAGTACAGTACCAATCATTTGACTTTTTCACTGAAGGCGGATCACATAAAGAGTATGCCATTTTACGAAAAAATGCTAGAGTTTTATTACTTTTCTTGTATTTGTTTAACAGTAGGAAAGTATACAGAAGCAACAAGAGTTAAAAAAGCCATAATTTTATGTATTACTATAATACAATCTTACAAAAAGTTTTCTTTCAAAGTTAACTTCAGCCTGTCCAAAAAAAAAACATATTAATCTCCACATAATTTTATTCTGCCCGTTTTCATATCTTGGTGTGTTATATTTAATTAAAGGGGAGAAAGGAAAACATATGTTTGTACATAAAATTATTATATGGATAAGCATAGGAAAACTCAAGTAATAAGATGTCCCTCATCGGCTGGCAAAAAGAAAAACAAAGAGTTGGAGGGGTATAGAACCATTGGGAGGAGCTTCAAGGAAACATACTTACCTGGACGGGGTCAATGGGCGATCAATAAGACTCATGGCCTAGGTTGGTGACCTTTATTGCACTTTGGAGGGGTGCCCGCCTAAGATCGACTCAAGTGGTCGAGCCTACGTCATAATTTGTGGCAGCGGGGGCCTGCGTTCGCGCGGCCCCTACCCAATTCTTCCCATAGCCTATCTTATCCTGTTTTCGTATGGTATCTTTTTATTATACTTCATAGTCAGTTATCTGATTCTGCGTATGTGCTTTTCCTTCAACTTAAAGTGGAATCTTATAACTCAAACCAATTTATTCAGATTTTTTCAAAGCAATATATTGGTATTTCAAACTATTCAATCGGACAAAATAATTTAAAAAATCACTGTCCTTGTTGTCATGTTTCTTAATACATGTACATCTTTCCATATATAAAATATATATAAATCTACTGACGAAAAAGGTCTCAAGATCTTGTGCCCTCTCTCATATGCAAATATTTGTTGTAATTACAATATCAAAGGTAGTCTTCTTTTTTCATGAGATAAACTTCAACTGTTAACAATTTCAAAAAAGTGAAAGACCTGGCCTTTTATCTTTTTTTTTTTTAAAAAAAAAAAAGTTAAGAAGTAGGAAATTTCAATTTTCTACCAGTCAAAGACAAATCAAAGTAATTACTTCAATAAAAGGAGTTGTATGAAGCAGAGGTCTGTGTCCATACCACATCGAAAGAGAAGGCAACTGCAAGGTGTTTACACTATTATAAAATTCAACGCGCGTCACTCGGAATTCTCACGCATCCATGCGGTGAGCACAAAGCGAACTATTCTTGCGCCTTTTACTAAAGAATACCGTGTGCACGCTGCAAATAGTGGCATATGCCTATTTTTGGAGGTGGTTCTCCTTATTGAGTTCCCCCAACAATTCAAGTAAAATATTTAATACTCGTTATCTTCTTAGACTAAATAAATATGAGATGATGTGGTAACTTTTTATTGTTAAACTTTTCTTTCAGTTAAATGTAGTACACTTCCGTTCAATTACTTACTTATGGCCGTACGAATGAGCGCATCATGATATCACGATATTGTAAAATGTCTCGCCCGAATGAATTAGTTGGTACTAAAAATGTTCTATGAATGAATTGGTTGGTGCTAGAAATGTTAGTAAAAGTGAAATCTTCCAATGTCTTCCCATTCTTCTTGTCTTTGTGATGATTTCATGTTTTCTAACCAAATATGAGAGCAACAATTTAGTAATTCTTTTTTACAGGAAGGATGACATTCCACTTAGAACAAATTTAGTAATGCATGTATTGATTGACTGTCGGACGAGAATTAAACATAAGTTAACACTCAATAGATAGATGTATTGGAAGTTAGAGGATGAGAAGCTAGATTAGGAGTTAGTCATAATTGGGACCCAATGTAATTACTAGGAGTTAGGGGGATATTTTATTATTTAGTTTTTACAATTAGTTGTATATAACTGATTCAGATTCAGTTAGTACATTCTCCTTTGCAACTCCTGAAAAACGTTTAACTTCTCCCTAGGTACAGTTGCAGCGAATTAATTAACTTCTCCCTAGGTAAAGGGATCCTTTTTTATTTTTATTTTTATTCTCATATCATAAAACAAAAATGGAAGATGCCATGAGGAGACTTAACCAAGAATCCGATATCCCTCTTCAAACCACCACTTGTACTACGAAAAGATCATGTGGCGCCAACAAAAGATCACTCAAAGACGGTGGCGGTTCATCTGTCGGCGCGGTGAGGTACCGCGGCGGCCGTCCTTGGGGCCGGTATGCAGCGGAGATAAGAGACCCTCAGTCTAAAGAAAGGAGGTGGCTCGGCACTTTTGATACCGCAGAAGAAGCTGCTTGTGCCGCTAGAGCCATGCGTGGTGTTAAAGCACGAACAAGTTTTGTTTACCCTCCTCCTTCTCCTACTCAACCTACTTCCACTAATGATGGGTTAACGTTTCTTAATATTCCTAATTCGTTTAATTATACTTGTGGTAAGTCATTTCCCTATCAGGCTGCTCTAAAGGATTTGTCGAACAGACAATTTTTTCACTCCTTTAATTATTCGCCTTCTTATGGTTCTGGTATTAGGGGTGTCAATGGTACTACAGTTCCTACCGCAACTCAGAAATGCAATGATTCTTTGAACATGCTTCTATTTCGCGAACTTCTTAGTTCCAATTCATCCAATACTACCAGTTCCCTTTCCTCGGACACTGGCTCTCTTGCTCTCTCTATCTCTCTAACATTCTCTCTCTCTACCTCTCTCTCATATACTATTATTGCTAAAACTATTTATCAAGAATATCCTAGGGTCTTATTATTTTGATTACGATTTACCCCTTCATTTCTTTTGATTGATCTGCTCAGAAAGTGTTCGATAACTTTTGAGTCAAACAATTTGGCGCCGTCTGTGGGGATTTCGATAGTCGGAATCATAGTTCACACCTAGGATACCAAAAACAACAATCACTGTCCTTCAAACTCCATAGAAACTAACAAATGGCAGAGAAAGAATCAAGGTTGAAGATGATATCAGATGTCTCAACCAACATCATAGGCCTCAACGAAGCCGGTAGAGAAAATACCGCGAATGTAACACCAAGTAGTGTACCAGAGGGGGAGATCTCACCCACTTCACTGGAAGATCGAACGATTTTGCATGAAAGAGGGGCCTCTACATTTGAAGCAAAGGAAACACCCCCACTAGTCAAAAAGTTACTAGAGGAATGGTTGACGAACACTCTAAGTAGCATGCTCGAGAAACCACCTCAAGGAAATGTCAAAGATTCGTCAATGACAGAAATTGCTGCCGCCACCGGTGAGCCCAGTGTTGTACGAACAAATAACGCCCACACCGATACCAACGCAAGCGATGATGCACTCACAGCCATCCTTAAGAAGATGGAAGAAATGGAGAATGAGAATAAAGCGCTTCGTGATCAAATGAAAGAGCACCAGGAAAGGGTAGACAAATTACATGGCGCCCCTAAGCTACTGCCAAAACGCAATGTGGGAAGGAGCAACCGTATAGTGAGGAAGCTGCCCCTCACCCAATCCCAAAAACCTTCAAGATGCCACCGTACTTGAAAATATGTTACGGGACCACGGATCCAGAAGATCATCTGATCCATTATGTGACCGCCGTAAAAGGCAATGACCTATCAAAAGCACAAGTGTCGTCCGTGCTGCTGAAAAATTTTGGCGAAACTTTGATAGGAGGGGTGTTAACGTGGTACTCTCAACTACCAGCTAGATCAATATCAACGTTCGAAGAAACGGCAGACAAATTCGCCACCGCTCATGCAGGAGCAAAAAAGGCAGAAGCTAGGGTCAATGACATCTTCGCCATCAGGCAAACAACGGGTGAAGGACTCTGGGACTTCCTGGCCCGATTCAATAGGGTAGTAATGGGACTGCCAAACGTATCAGAAGGAATGGCGGTTGCAGCTTTCCCAAATGGGTTGAATAGAGACGGATCAAAAGCAACCAAGAAGCTGCTCAACCGACTCATGAAGTATCCCCCACCACATGGGAAGAGATTCATAATGGCTACTGCGCTGAAGTAAGAGCGGACGAAGACGATCTTAACAGTCCGGCCCAACGAATAATGTCAGTACAGTCAGAGGTAAGGAGGGATCGACGCAACGACGGGCGACGGGAACAACTCCCACGCTTCAACAGAGAAAGGCATAAGCCTTACGTTAGAATTCCCAATCCGCCTCCTCCAAGGCATCCAGATGCCGTGCAGCGACATGTCGCCCCGCTTCGAAATGAAAGAGGTATGCCCCCATTATTATCTGCTCATAAATTTTGTGTCTCCCCTTCAGAAATAGTGTACGCACTGGAAAAGCTGGGCACGAAGGTGCAGTGGCCGTAAAAAATAAAATCAGATCCTAGTGCAAGGAGGTCAAACGTCCTATGCGAATTCCATCAGGAAAAAGGACACAAGACCGAAGACTGCATAGGTCTACGATAGGAGGTAGTCAGAATGCTGAGCCAGGGATACCTGAAGGAGCTGCTTAGCGATAAAGGAAGGGCAAATTTCGCCCGAGGACGCGACCAATCCCAAGGACCACCAAATCCACCTTCTTCAGCACGTACCATACAGATGATCATCGGTGGCGGCGACGACTCAACAATCAATCATGTAAAGTTCACCACCACACACAAGTTGAAGCGTACGATCGCGCACAAACGGTATGACGACTTCGAAGATAGTATCACCTTCGATAAGTCTGATACCGACGGTTTATCTTTTCCTCATTACGATGCTCTAGTTATAACTTTACGTATTGCTGATACTGATGTGAAAAGAATCATGCTAGACGACGGAAGCGGCACATGTATTATCCATCCAAGAGTCCTCATGCAAATGAGGCTCGAAGAAAAGATAATACCGCATGCATAACACTAACGGGTTTTAACAATGCAGTAGAGCGGACCTCCAGAGAGATATCATTGCCAGTCTTGGCAGGGGGAGTCACGCTAGAAACCACATTCCATGTCATGAGTCAGGAAACAACTTACAACGCTATTATAGGGCGTCCTTGGATACATGCCATGCGAGCTGTTCCCTCGAGCTTCTACCAAGTAATCAAATTTCCCACCTCGTGGGGAATATTTAGTATTCGAGGCGAGCACGTACCACCCAGGAATGCTACCGGATCACCCAAAACTGTACGCATACCAGGCAATTGAAGGGGGCGAGCACGGAAGAATAGCAATCAGCCATGTCGGGGACTAAAATTAACCCGCCGGTAGAGGTAATTAGGGACCCAAATATTATAGAAGCTTGCAAAGCGACCATCGAGGATCTCGATCTGGTCTAGATGGACGACACCGACGATGCAAAAAAAGCCTATATCGGGCACAAACTCTCCGATCCAGGTGAGTACCACGAATTCTTAACTAACTATGCAGATCTATTTGCATTCTCTCATTCAGATGTGCCGGGGATCCCAAAGGATATCTCCACTCAAAAGATGAACGTCGACCCACTTTATCCGCCCATACGACAGATGAGGAGGAAATTCAATGCCGCAATCAACGAGGCAATCAGTGAAAAAGTGGACAAATTACTAGCCAATGGTTCTATTAAAGAATCGAAATACCCGCAATGGGTCGCTAATGTCGTCATGGTTAAAAAGAAAAATGGGAAATGGAGAATGTGCATGGACATCACCGATCTGAACAAGGCATGCCCAAAAGACTCCTTCCCATTGCCCCACATCGACCAGCTAATCGACAAAACATCAGGGCACGGACTGCTAAGTTTCTTGGATGCCTACTCCGGCTACAACCAGATCCTGATGGCCGAAGAGGATCAAGAGAAGACAACTTTCATTACCCACCAAGGGACGTACTGCTATAAAGTGATGCCCTTCGGACTAAAAAACGCGGGAGAAACATACCAAAGGTTGGTCACCAAGATGTTCAAGGAACAACTCGGCAAGACAATGGAGGTTTATATCGATGACATGTTAGTAAAATCGGCAAAAAAGGAGGACCATATCGATTATTTGAAAGAAGCCTTCGAGATACTGAGACAGTACGGGATGAAATTGAACCCAGAAAAATGCGCCTTCGGCGTGGCCTCGGGAAAATTCCTAGGTTTTCTCGTATCACAACGAGGTATCAAAGTCAACCCGGATCAGATCAAGGACATAGACACGATATCTGAGGTTTTGAATAGCAAGAAGCAGGTACAGAAACTGACGGGGCGAATAGCCGCCCTACAAAGATTCATCTCACGGTCCTCAGACAAATGCCACAAGTTCTTCAGCGTACTGAAGAAAGATCATGGGTTACAATGGAATGAGGAATGCATCGAGGCCCTAAGAAAACTAAAAGCATACCTATCTTCGCCGCCATTGCTCGTCAAAGCAGATCCGGGCGAGTGTTTACCGGTGTACCTTGCAGTATTTGAAGTTGCTGTCAGTGCCGTTTTGGTCCGCGAAAACAAAGGTACTCAATCCCCTATTTATTATATCAGCAAAACTCTAATAGATGCCGAAACATGGTACCCCCACCTCGAAAAACTGGCTCTGGCACTGGTTGTAGCTTCACGGAAGCTTAGACCTTATTTTCAATGCCATCCCATAAAAGTAATAACAACCTTCCCCCTAAGAAGCATCCTACATAAACCCGAGCTCTTGGGTAGGCTCGCCAAATGGGCCATAGAGCTCAACGAGCGTGACATAACCTACCACCCAAGAACCGTCATTAAGTCGCAGGTACTTGCCGACTTTGTCGCCGACTTCAGCGTGGGGATATTGCCAGATGTGGAACAAGAGGCCCTCCGCGCCTCCGCCTATATTGACCTCTGGACTCTCTACACTGACGGTGCTGCGAATGCCTCGGGATCGGGACTAGGACTCGTCCTCGAAGTCCCCACGGTTGAAATAATTTTGCCAGTCCATACGATGCCCTGAGATGACTAACAACGAGGCCGAGTATGAGGCTGTGATTGCAGGTATGTAATTGGCCATCAAATACGGGGCCCGTCGACTCATCCTCCACTGCGACTCCCAACTCGTCATAAATTAAGTCACCGGGAATTACCAAGTCAAAGAACAAAGGCTACAAAAATACCAATCAGAAATCCATAAACTGATGACTGAGTTTGATGAATGTCGCTTCGAGCAAATCCCCAGGGCACAAAATGTTGAGGCAGATGGCTTAGCAAAACTGGCTGCGGCCACCAGAAATATCAACAAAGAAAGTGTGGTCACCGTCCTCCATTCGGCCATCAACCACATCGAGGTATTCTCTGTAAATCTAACTTGGGACTGGCGCAACCAGCTTGTATCCTATCTACAGGACGGAACACTCCCACGCGACAAGAAAGAAGCCAAGAAGCTCCGCGTACAAGCCGCCCGATACACTCTGATAAATCATGACCTCTACAAGAGAACGTTTGGTGGTCCCCTTGCTAAGTGCCTCGGGCCGCATCAAATGAGACAAGTATTAGAAGAGGTGCATGAGGGCCATTGTGGCGCCCATACAGGAAATCACGCCCTCGTCCGATGCCTCATCCGCGCTGGTTATTACTAGCCTATAATGAAAAAAGAGGCAGCAGATTACGTCCGAAGATGCGAACAGTGCCAAAAGTACGCCCCCATGATACACCAGGAGGGGGAGCTTCTCCATTCAGTCACCTCGCCATGGCCCTTCATAAAGTGGGGAATGGATATAATCGGCCCTCTACTAGCAGGACGAGGAAAGGTACGCTTTCTTTTAGTTTTGACTGACTATTTTTCCAAATGGGTGGAAGCACCTGCGTACACAGATACGCGGGCAAGAAGTCAGGAAAAACATCAAATGCCA